TACAGAGGCTGCTCCTTTACTTGGTGGAACAAGAGAAGAGCGAACCCTGTGGCTAAGAAGCTTGACAGGATTTTAGTAAACGATGAATGGCAAACCATGTTTCCTCTCTCAACAGGTTATTTTGGAGCCCCATGTTTTTCTGATCATTCTCCTGGATCTATCTCCCTTAACCCGGCTGACCACAGAAAGAAAAAACCATTTAAGTTCTTCAACTTTCTTCTAAAGAATCCAGATTTTCTTCCATTAGTTTGCGAAAACTGGTTCTCTTTCAACATCTCTGGCTCCGACATGTTCAGAGTTTCAGTAAAGCTAAGGGAGCTCAAAAAGGTAATAAGACAATTTAGCAAATCAAATTATTCTGGTATTGAGCTGAGGGTACAGGAGGCTCTTGTTGTGTTATCAGAAATGCAAGAAAAGATGTTGTCGAACCCAAATGTGGCAAATGCTAGTCTTGAGCTGGAGGCTTCAAGAAAATGGGAGATCCTCTCCAAAGCTGAAGAGAGTTTCTTCTACCAGAAATCCAGAATTACATGGTTGGGTGACGGGGACAAGAACACAGCCTATTTTCACCGTATGGCAGCAACTAGGCAGGCCATAAATCATATACACTACCTTGAAGATGAGATGGGAAATCGTTTTGACACTCAGCAAGGCATCCATTCGCACTATGTGGAGTTCTTCAAGAATCTTCTAGGCAGCTCTGAAACTCAACCCCTGTTCATGCAGGATGACATAACGGCGCTGTTGAATTTCCAATGCTCTGATGCTCAAAGGTCTCTCCTTGACTCTATGTTCTCCAAAGAAGAGATCAAAGAAGCTTTCTTCTCTCTCCCTAAGAACAAAGCTAGTGGACCTGATGGTTACTCTTCGGAGTTTTTTACTAGTTGTTGGAGTGTGATTGGGGCAGAGGTGACGACAGCTATTACTGAGTTCTTCTCCTCGGGTACTTTACTTAAACAGTGGAATGCTACTACATTGGTGTTGATTCCAAAAATTCAGAATGCGTCGAAGGTATCTGATTTCAGACCTATATCTTGCCTCAACACTTTGTATAAAGTCATCTCTAGGCTCTTAGCAAATAGGCTGAAGTCCATCCTCCCATCTGTTATATCCCATGCTCAATCTGCTTTCTTGCCTACTAGGCTGCTGTCAGAAAATGTTTTGTTGGCTTCAGAGATTGTGCAAGGCTACAATAGGAAAAATATAAAAGCAAAAGCAATGCTAAAGGTCGATCTAAGGAAAGCTTTTGATTCTGTCAGATGGGACTTCATGCTTGCTACTCTGACAGCTTTAAACATTCCTGAAAAGTATATTGGATGGATTCGAGAGTGTGTTTGCACCCCATCCTTCTCGATCTCAGTAAACGGAATGTCTGATGGGTTCTTCCAGAGTACAAGAGGCTTGAGGCAGGGAGACCCTTTTTCTCCATACCTATTTGTGCTCGCCATGGAAGTGTTTTCAAAGATAATGCTATCAAGATTTGCTTCAGGTTCTATTGCTTACCATCCAATGACATCTGAGTTAGAAATTTCTCACTTGATGTTTGCCGATGACGTAATGGTTTTCTTTGATGGTAGTAGTTCCTCCCTGCATGGTATCTATGAGGCTCTGGATGACTTCGCATGCTGGTCAGGACTTACAATGAACAGAAATAAGACTACTCTCTTCCATGCTGGTTTAAATCCATTGGAGGAGTCAGCGATTGCTCAATATGATTCCCCATTGGCACGCTGCCCGTAAGGTACTTAGGACTTCCCTTAATGTCCAGAAAGCTCACCATTGCTGAATACTCACCTTTGCTTGAGAAAATCACTAACAAGCTGAGAGGATGGGCAACTAAGTCACTTTCTTATGCGGGGAGAACCCAGCTCATTGCTAGTGTGATATACGGAACTATTAACTTTTGGATATCCACCTTTACGCTTCCCAAGGGTTGTATAAAGCGAATTGAGTCTCTATGTGCTAGATTCCTCTGGTCTGGGAGCACTGACTGTCACACCAAAGCAAAGGTTGCATGGTCTTCTGTATGTATGCCAAAAAATGAAGGCGGTCTAGGCTTAAGGAAATTATCTGTTTGGAACACCACCTTGAATCTGAAGCTTATTTGGCTCATGTTCTCTAACAGTGGCTCGTTATGGGTGGCTTGGCAGCATTACCACCACGGGCTTGCCTCCATTAGCTTCTGGGATATCAAAGCTAAAAATACCGACTCTTGGTTTTGGAAATCTCTTCTAAAATTAAGGAGCCTGGCCAAAAGATTCATAAACTGCAGAATTGGAAGTGGAAACATAGCTTGGTTCTGGCATGATGTATGGACTCCTTTTGGTCCCCTGTTAGAGTTTTTGGGAGATTCTGGTCCTACCATACTACGGGTTCCTAGGAATGCGAGAGTCTCTGCGGCTTGCACTTTGGAGGGTTGGAATATTACCTCTCCACGATCTGATCAGGCACTTGCTTTACACATCTACTTGTCTACTATTCAATTACCAACTGTTTCAAATGAGGATGATTCTTTCAATTGGTTAATTGAAGACAAGCCGTGCGGTGGTTTCTCCTCGAGTAAAACCTGGGAGATTCTCAGACCAAAGGCTCCTGCTGCGGACTGGGCATGTTTGGTTTGGTTCAAAGGTGCCACTCCAAAGCATGCGTTCCACATGTGGGTAACAAATCTTAACAGGCTACCCACCAGGGATAGGCTAGCTTCATGGGGACTTCAAATCTCCACTGACTGCTCCTTTTGTGTTGGCTCAATGGAGACCAGGGATCACATCTTTCTGCATTGCACATTCGCTCAATCACTATGGAATCTCAGCCTCGCAAGATTGCGTTTGGCTCCGACAGTATTTGCAAACTGGGCAGCCTTATTGGCTTGGCTAAAGGTCAAGAACACTAACTCGCCTCAAACACTACGACTATTGATCACCCATGCTCTAGTCTACGGGATCTGGAGGCAGCGAAACAACCTGTTCCACAACAATATTTCAATCTCGCCGCTCACCATCTTCATTGACATTGACCGGCAAATTATCAACTCAATCACAGCTAGGAGGAAGATGAAGAAATTCAAAAACCTTATGGCGCTTTGGCTCACCTAATGGATGCTCCTGTTTCCGCTTTATGAGAATGTTTATAATCTAAATGTAACCTTGTTTTTTATTCTTTTTGCCAAGGTTCATTTGTTCTAGGTCTTCTATTGTAACACCTACATTTCATCTAATGATATTTACTCTCTTAGCAAAAAAAAAAAAAAAAAAAAAAAAAGGTTATCTGATCCAAATCTTTATGTTTAAGTTTATGACAAGTAAAAAAGGAGAAAAATATAGTTGCTCTTTTTGTTCATGTGAACTTATGTAATTGTATATGTATGAACTGAAGCTGTACAATGTGACGTTTTATGTATACATAAATGATGAATTTCACCTATAATTTTATTTTTAGTACTATACATGATGTCATATGTGTTTAGACATGGACTATGTCCACATATCCAAGTGATTTCATTAAAATTTTCAAACTTATATGCTGTTTTGCTGAAAACTACACTGATTCATATACAAACTTTCAAATGCTTTTTATATATAATGGAGTTTGACTAATTTCCCTCCACAGCAGCAAACCCACGTATAACGGTGTGGGGTCTGCTGCCACCGTCAAAAGATTCAAAACCAATGAATTACATTATCTTAATATATTTTATACCATTTTATTGTTTAAGGTTTTTATGATGAGACAATTAGCATTGGTACCATATTTGGCCCAAAAGTTATTATCAATACCACATTTGAGGCCCAATTATCATTCATACCATATTGTGATTGTAAAATAACCATTTTACCCTCCAACTGGTGAGACAAAGAATTGCGGTTGATGTGACCCTCTGATATTTCTACCGTCCTTTGTCTTTCTCCTGACGCATTGGTAACCGTTTCGTCCCTCTGGCTGGTAAAACAAAGTTGTCTCCGAATAAATCTAGATCTTCATCTTCGGCTCTATGGCGGAATAAAATAAAGATCAAGTTGTCTTTGAGTAAATTCAGATTTCTGGCTGGTAATCACATCATCTGGCGATGGACAATCAAGAGAAGTTGTCCCCGAGTAAATCTAGATCTCTGGCTGGAAAACCACATCATCTGGCGATGGACAATCAAGAGATCCAGTTGTCTCCGATCCAGGTGTCCTCAAATTTAACTCATATCATCTTTCCAAACGTTTTTATCAATTAATTATTTGCTTTGACCTAGTAATTAATGTTTTGTATTATATTTTAATGTTTAATAATCATTGTCACCATTTAATGTGGTTGTTCCCCTTTTTCAACATGTTGTACTTTTTTCTGACGCACAGTACATTAATTCTCTCTCTTTCTGCAGAGTTATCAAAGGCAAAATCGTCCATCGTCTACCACAGACAATTACTTGTATCAAAGGCAAGTGGTACAAGTGCTAAACTATTCTCTATTGTAGTAGAGATACTAAGAAATTTGAAAATATAGTACAATTGGCAAAAATCCCTTTTATGATTTTATCAAGTTCTTATCATTTTTATTTAGTATTAATTTGTGATATATAGTTTGCTCCAGCAAAATATATTTTAGATCCGATATTGTTCCTTCATATACATATGTAAACTACAATCGAAGTTATTGTATTTTACTATGTACACAAAAATAAATTATGACGATTGTTTTTTAGTTCCTTAAGATCGTGATATAGTCTTCCAATCAATCTTACTACACAAACTCTCTTTTCTTGAGGTCCAAAAGGATAATTTTTTTTTTCTTTCCTAATGGCTTCAAATTTGGGTCCATAGAGAGATATTTTCATAACTAAAAACTATTTACAATTAATATTTCGCTAAAAGAAAAACAATGAAAAAGTATACCATCCACTCAAATGTTATCATCTTATTATCTTAAGACCCTTGAGTCTCCACTTAGACTTGGCTTTCCCTATTATTGTATTACTAATAGTAATTTAATATATATTAACAATGACGATGAATGATGGTGTACGTTGTAACCTTATAAAATACTATGTTAGGGACAACAACTTCAATCTCATAACTTCTAGTCTTCTACAAAACACTTGGCAAAAATGTCTCTGATTTCAAATCTCTTCACCGACAACACAAATATTGTCCAACCTTACGCAATTCTCGTTCTCATCGCTATCTTCTCGGTTTTGTGGTACCTCTTCAAACGCTCGCCGCAACCACCTCTACCGCCTGGACCGCGAGGGCTACCTATTGTCGGAAACCTTCCCTTTCTTGACCCGGACCTTCACACCTACTTCACAAAACTCGCTAAAAGTCATGGTCCAATCTTCAAACTCAATCTTGGCTCAAAACTAACCGTCGTGGTCAACTCTCCATCGCTGGCTAGAGAGATCTTTAAAGATCAAGATATCAATTTCTCAAACCATGACGTCCCTCTCACGGCCCGAGCCGTTACCTATGGCGGTGTCGACCTCGTTTGGTTACCATACGGTGCCGAATGGAGAATGCTTAGAAAAGTTTGCGTTCTCAAGCTTCTTAGCCGCAGAACGTTGGATTCTTTCTACGAGCTTCGACGTAAAGAAATCCGGGAAAGAACAAGATATTTGTACCAGCAAGGTCAAGAATCACCGGTGAATGTTGGAGAGCAGGTCTTTTTGACGATGATGAATCTAATAATGAATATGTTATGGGGAGGTTCGGTTAAAGCAGAGGAAATGGAGAGTGTTGGAACAGAGTTTAAAACAGTGATTTCTGAAATAGCTAGGCTTTTGGGAGAGCCTAATGTTTCTGATTTTTTCCCATGGTTAGCGAGATTCGATCTTCAAGGACTTGTGAAGAAGATGCATATGTATGCTCGAGAGCTCGATGCGATACTTGATCGAGCCATCGAGCAGATGCATCGACTAAGAAGTAGGGATGGTGATGATGGTGAATGTAAAGACTTTTTGCAACATTTGATGAAGTTCAAGGACCAAGAAGCTGAGTCGGAGATTCCCATTACGGTTAACCATGTCAAAGCCGTACTTGTGGTAATGAAATGGTTCTAATTTTAAACTTTTAGAATATATACTTAGGAGGATAGCATATTTCTGGAAATTGAGAAATTTTTTTTGATATACTGTATATGCGGAAATCGAATTTTGGAATTACTAAATATGAAAATTCGGAATGATGGTTTCACAATTATATTTGTTCATTAGTATTTTCACAATTATATTTTTCGATTGTTAAAAACTTTAAATCATGCAAAATTTCTATTATTTTTATTTTTTCATGAGAAGTGACTTAATTTATATGTTTGTTATATATGAAGGATATGGTAGTTGGTGGTACAGATACAACAACCAACACGATAGAGTTTGCAATGGCCCAACTAATAAGAAACCCGGAGTTGATGAAGAGAGCACAACAAGAGCTAGACGAAGTTGTAGGCAAAGACAACATTGTTGAAGAATCACACATCACTAGATTGCCTTTTTTATCAGCCATTATGAAAGAAACACTTAGACTTTATCCAACCACTCCTCTGCTAGTCCCTCACCGTCCGTCCGAAACCGCACTGGTCGGCGGCTACACCATCCCTAAAAACACTAAAATCTTCATCAATGTTTGGGGTATTCAGAGAGACCCAAATGTGTGGGAGAATCCGACTGAGTTTCTTCCCGAGAGGTTTCTTGATAAGAAGTCTTGTGATTTCACTGGAACAGATCATAGCTTTCTTCCATTTGGGTCGGGCAGGAGAATTTGTGTTGGTGTAGCACTCGCCGAGAGGATGGTTTTGTATACTCTCGCGACGCTATTGTACTCGTTCGATTGGAAGATTCCGGAAGGTCACGTGTTGAACTTGGAAGAGAAGTTTGGGATTGTCTTGAAGCTCAAGACCCCTCTTGTTGCCTTGCCCATTCCAAGGTTGTCCAATTCGAATCTTTATTTATAAAGGCAAAAATCTTTATAGTTTTCTTAAAAAAGGAAAAAGATTGTTATGTTGGCCATTTTTATAATATACGTTTTTTAGGTAAAAGTGTGTTATATTTTGAACTTTTTTAATTAATCGTCATAAGTTTTGTAATGAAATTCAAACATCGGTTTCCATAAACAGCAACATTATTGAACTAGGACCACTTATTTTACTTAAATGTTGTTAGATACTTATCATGACTTTTGTTTTTCGTTCTAATTTTATTATAATAGATAATGAATATGACGCATCTCAGTACCACCACTTATCAAAGTTTTGTAAATTTTACATTATCACTTCATATGTTCCTCAAAAATCCTCTCCAAATTTGCAACAAAAACTCTATGTATCCTTCGCAAATTTGTGAGAAAACTCTATTTTTCACACAAATTGACTGTTTCCGTAGTGTTTAATAACCTTTTGAGAATGAAAAATTATAGAAGCTTTTTTTTTTTTTGTCACATGATCTGCTAATAATATTGGGTCGGCATATTTATTATGGAGAATACTCCGTCATATATAGAGAAAAAAAAAAAAGCTAAGTCCCCCCTCCCCTCTACAACCAATGTAGCCTCTACATACTTGGGGGAGGCAAATATTATTACTTCAAACTCCTGCAAAGAAACATCACATGAAATAGGGAAGCTCCACCCAAATGAAGACAGGAAGTATAGTTTTTCTATCGATGATACAAAAAGAACAAAGGGCAAACTGTGGAATGCAAAGGCAAAAGCTGGCTTTCAAGTCCTCTAACCCTTCTTCTTATGTTTTTTTTTTTGGGTTTGAATATTAAGGAATTTAATGAGGTCATACTAAGATTTTGAAAATTTTATAAGCTTAACGAGCAAATTCTTAGGAGTCTCATTAAGATTCACGAAAAATACTCGTAGACACAAAAAGTCATCAATTATGTATGTTCTTCTATCCCTCTGGAAATTTATGTTCAACTATGAGTTTTAAAACTTGAGAAAATTTAGGTCTTTTGGAATACTCTCAAAACCTCCGCAAAATGGTCTCATGCATAGTAAAGTTACAACCCATCGAAAATGAATTTTCGTTGTACTCTTTTAAAAGTTGGCAGCCTACATTTCCCCTTACTCTTTTACCCTTAAATTATTAGTTTTATTTATATTTAGTATTTTAGATGTTCCAAAATAATGGTGTCCAACAAAAAAAAAAAGCTGTTCGAAAATGGTATCCAATTTTTTAAGAAAAAAAAAAAACATAGAAAAGTATTTCAAAAGCATTGGGAAGTATTACATCCGCTCAAAAGTTATCAGCATGAGTCATGAGACCGTCACATGATTGGATTTGCGTTATTGCTTATTATTAATTTATACTACTATATAGTAAAAATAAAGATGAATAATTTCTGAGTCGATCTCAAAATAATAATAAAAAGATGAAATAATTAACACAACACTTTCCTCTCATCGATCTCAACATTTTCCAAACATTAATCAAATATGTCTCCGATTTCAAATCTCTTCCCCGACAACACAATCAATCTCACTCCTTACGCAATTATCATTCTCACCGCTATCTTCTCGATTCTATGGTACCTCTTCAAACGCTCAACGCAACCGCCTCTACCGCCTGGACCACGAGGGTTACCTATAGTCGGGAACCTCCCGTTTCTTGACCCGGACCTTCACACCTACTTCGCAAACCTAGCTCAAAGTCACGGTCCAATCTTTAAACTCAATCTTGGCACAAAACTAACCATCGTGGTCAACTCTCCAACTCTGGCTCGAGAGATCTTGAAAGATCAAGACATCAATTTCTCAAACCGAGACGTCCCTCTCACTGGCCGAGCCGCTACCTATGGCGGTATAGACATCGTTTGGACACCATATTGCGCCGAATGGAGACAGCTTAGAAAAATATGCGTCCTCAAACTCCTTAGCCGCAAAACTTTGGATTCTTTCTACGAGCTCCGACGCAAAGAAGTCCGGGAAAGAACAAGATATCTATACGAGCAAGGCCAAGAAGAATCCCCGGTTAAAGTTGGAGATCAATTGTTTCTTACGATGATGAATCTAACGATGAATATGTTATGGGGAGGGTCGGTGAAAGCAGAGGAGATGGAGAGTGTTGGAAAAGAGTTTAAGGGAGTTATCTCTGAGTTAACTGGACTTTTGAGTGAGCCTAATGTTTCGGACTTTTTCCCGTGGCTAGCGAGATTTGATCTTCAAGGGCTTGTGAAGAGGATGCGTGTGTGTGCCGGAGAGCTCGATGCGGTACTTGATCGAGCCATCGAGCAGATGAAACCGTTAAGAGGAAGAGATGATGATGATGGTGAATGCAAAGACTTCTTGCAATATTTGATGAAGTTAAAGGACCAAGAAGGTGACTCGGAGGTTCCCATCAGCATTAATCATGTCAAAGCCGTACTCACGGTGATTAATTAATGTTTTCAGTTTCATAATTTTAGGATATAAGGATTTGTAAAAAGGGTTAGGATATAAATATTTGTCAAGGGTTAATTAGGATATAAATTGAGATTGTAGATATTTATTTGTTAATGAAAAGTGATTTGATCATTAATGTTATTGTTTATGTATGAAGGATATGGTGGTTGGTGGCACAGACACATCGACGAACACGATAGAGTTTGCGATGGCCGAGCTAATGAGCAACCCGGAGCTGATAAAAAGAGCACAACAAGAGCTAGACGAAGTTGTAGGCAAAGACAACATTGTTGAAGAATCACACATCACAAGACTTCCTTACATATTAGCCATTATGAAAGAAACACTTAGGCTTCACCCAACCCTTCCTTTGTTAGTCCCTCATCGTCCGGCTGAAAGCACCGTGGTGGGCGGCTACACTATCCCTAAAGACACTAAGATCTTCGTCAATGTTTGGTCTATTCAGAGAGACCCAAATGTGTGGGAGAATCCAACTGAGTTTCGTCCTGAAAGGTTTCTTGATAACAACTCTTGTGATTTCACTGGAGCCAATTATAGCTATTTTCCATTTGGATCGGGCCGGAGAATTTGCGCCGGTATAGCACTAGCCGAGAGGATGGTTTTGTACACTCTCGCGACACTATTGCATTCGTTCGATTGGAAGATACCGGAAGGCCACATGTTGGACTTGAAAGAGAAGTTTGGGATTGTCTTGAAGCTCAAGACCCCTCTCGTCGCCTTGCCCATTCCGAGGTTGTCCGATTCAAATCTTTACCTATAGATGCGAAGATTGTACCTTAGGCAATTCTTATACTATTAAAATAAAATTAGTACTTGTTATTTGGGGTAAAGTTTAAAATAAAATTAGTACTTGTTACTTTTGTTCAATCTGACTTGCATAACTAACATGGTGTGGTTCTATCTCGATAATTGCTAAAAAAAAACCAAAAATAGAATAAAACTACTTATCAACATCCCAAATAATGTGTAGATGATAATCACGGATTTGTTTTCTATATAAAATCTTGATGGCTGGTGAATATGCATGATGACGTAAATCAGTACAATACTTATCAAATTTTCCTCTAAATGTTAACATTATTAGGTGAGATAAGGACCTCCAAGCGAGTAACATTTATGTGTAAGCATGTAACAAACAATGAGTCGATAAGCCATGTGACGTCTTTGTCAGAAGCTTGAACGAACTTACATAAGTTTTTGTTTTTCTTGAACTTACAAAATTTTCAAAACCTCTAAGAAATTTAAAAGTTTCATAAAATTCTGTAAGTGAGGAAAAATTGATTATCACCGATTTTGTTTCACCAAAACGTGATATATCCGCCACCCGGCTTCGAGTCCCGGCCACTGCGTAATTTACATGCGGGGCGCAGCGTCCCAGACCACCAGTTCCAGGGGCTCTTAAGTGGAGGCTTAAAAATCCCAGAGCGCGGGCTAATGCCCAGTGGACTAGTTGGATCACTGTGTGGTCTGGACACTGGGTTATCAAAAAAAAAACGTGATATATTAATGGCTAGGAGGCTAGAAATTGGCTGCCTAGGCACCGTAGGAGATATGTAGATCGTGACCATTATTTTATAAGCAAAAGAATAGAATCAGATGGTTCTATTTAAATTGAATTTGATTTTATGAATTCCTTATTGACGACACCTATATAATTTAATAGTTTGTTGAATTTCATATTTTAATGTAGGTTAAGCTCAAAATTGAAATATTTTGTACTTTATTATACATTATCATGTAAACACTTTTTAGATTGTCTAAAACGGTCTAACTCCAGATTAAATTCTCAATGCGCTAAGTATTGTTCCCAGCTAGTTTAGTATCAAATTAGCGATGTCTTATCTCATGATCATGATTGTTGGCAAAAAAAAAAGTCAGTATATATTACTAGTTTGCCATCTTCGTAATAGACCAGTCCCGTCTGTGTCTAGCGATAAAATTGAATGGCAGAATATAATTCTTGAAGTCAGCTTTGAAATCATCTTCTGGAAGACGAAGAATCGCGACATTTGTATCGGTTAAACTTGACTCCGGAAAAATCAACAACAGAAGTAACAAAAAATTGTTGTAAGCAGATTCTTTTATAGTGAAAGTTACCGAGACAGAAACAAGATAGTGTGTTTTTTTCGTCGTAACAATTCCATAAAATAAGATATAAGTTCTTATTTTCGAAAGAGTTATACTCATACCTAATCCACATGTATGGACTCGCGTTTATACACATACACAAAAGCATTTACATCTATACATCTAAGTACCCGTTTTAAGGCCACACACTACATTGTGTACCTTAAGAGTATCACAAATTATGGAAGATCGATCCAAAAGTGGCAATTTCTTTATTTCGTACTTCACTCTTCTCAAGCAGAAACAGATTGAACTCCACAAACTGGGAGGTCATGTTCAAAGTTTGGAGCGGCCCTAAGGATTGGATTGCGCTCGAAAAAATTAACGGGCTTCAAATCGAAACTCGAAGAAACCGTGGGCATTATTGGAAAATCTTCTTGACATGGAATGTGATGGAAGCCAAGTGTGTACCACACAACTATGTCCTTGTTCTCTATGTACCACACAACTATGTCCTTGTTCTCTATGTCTCTATCCCTGTATCACACCAAAGATTCATCAAATATAAAAATCGAATCTTCACTATATATATAACTAATAATTATTATTTTGGAATTAATATAATCACCTTTCTGACCAAACTGCAAGAGTATCATCACCATGGCTTTGGTAAGTGAACAAACCACCAGCCCATTGCTCGGACTTATTGTATGGAGTAACCCAAATTTGGTTATTAGTAAAAGCTCCTCTCTTCTGCGGTGGATCATCATGGTCAAGCAGACTAGCTGCCGTAGTTCTAGGAACGACCTTATAACCCGTTGGGTTCCCAACCCGAGTGGTTTTACCAGAGTTGATGACGTGGAATTCCGATGGATCATACAAGCTAAGCTTGATCTGACCATCCTTTTCGGTTTTCGCAATGTTCCTAACAGCTTTCAGGTAACTTTTCCTCGGTGACTCACCTGGCTCGGTCTCTTGCCTCTTGAGGTTCACTTTAACAAATGAATTATCCGGGCCATCGACGTCAAGATCAAGGTAAAAAGTGACGTAGTGATCGTGAATTACTCCGATTACATTTTCAGACAGAAGCGTGCCGTGAAGCTCTTCTTCATTACCTTCTCTGTCTTTCTCCACTTGGTTCTTGTTTTGATATGTTGTCCCTTTCACCATTAGTATTCCACTAAGCCCAACCTGTCATTATCACTTATACATTAGTTAGTGACAAAAAAACGAATATTCATTATCCCACGGAATCATATGGAATCTTTTATATTTTAGAAATGATATAAAGTAGAAAATTACCTTAGCTTTTATAAGCCCATCAGTTTGGAACTCGTAATCAATGATGTAATCATAGTTACCTACCGAAGCTGCCATTCGTACCACTAGCGTCACTTTTGGTCTCACTTCCCTTATCTACTAAATCCAAATAATAATTTACTTACATTAAACACACTCAATCTTTTAAGATTTACCCTTTTAAATCCTAATATTTTTTTCTATGTAAATAAAACCCATAAACAAAGAGACTTACCGGTATACCGGTGATGGGACTTTCGGAGTGGCGCCACCCAATATCTCCGGCGTAACTCTCAAAGATACAAACCATGTTTTCTCTCACGAACGGTGTTCCATCGGCCGCCGCGAAAACTCCGTCCATATACGCTGCGTTTCGTGGACAATCATTAAGTGGTACGAGTGGCATGGCTTGTAACCCGAACCCGTATTCCCCTGCGTCCATGTAAGTCTTGAAGTACCACGCGTCCGATGGATCCATGTACGGAACAAAAAGCTCTGACACAAACCCTTTGTACATCACTTCACGTGTCTCTTGAGTATCCGGGTCGTGTACTCTGACCCGTGATATAACCACACCTGCTCTCGGGTCAGGTTTTAGATGAAATTCCCAATTTGCCCATTTCACAAGATGGTTGTCCTCGATTACGAAGCTTGGACCACGTGGCTGCTCGATGGATATGGGGTTTAGAAGTCGGGTTTTGTCGGTGGTCACGAGTTTTTCGAAGCGGTAATCGGTATTTGTTGAACCGGGTATGGGTATAGCCCGACCCGTATCGGATATCTCGATCACTTGCTTTGTATCTAAATCGACAAGGATGGTTAGACCTTCGATAGGACGCATGTAGAAGTTAGGTGTTCCTTGTGTCAAGAAACACTGACTTTTAATAACCCTCGCGTTTTCTTCTTTATTACCAAACCAACCACTAGAGATTGGGAAACAAATCACGTCCGTTAGATTAATTCCACGAGAGATGATCGTACGGTTGAAATCTGCGTTTGCGAACGGTACAACAGTCATAGCGTTCATCTCCTCGATAGTCATCATCGGGTAACCCGAAACACTAACCGGGCTATTCTCTGAATCTACCCGACCCGTAGAGATATCAACGGTGAGCACGTGCGTGTCGGGGCCAACACGTGCGATGACGGAAGCTTTCCTCGGAGGAAGTGGGTTACCTTTTTCCCAGTGACGGACAAGATTCTTGTCAGGCTCTTCAAGAACGACGGTGTGGAGCGCGTGTGGTGTACCGGAGGTGAAAAGCGCGTGAGTGTTGAGTATTGATCGGACTTTGTTAATCTCCACCACCGTAAGTGGGTCTAGAGGATGGTTTGGTGTATCGGAGAAGTGATCATGGTTTTTGGTTTTTGGTTTAGGATCGTGTTTAGGAATGGGACGTGGTTGTTGTTTGTTGAAAAGAAAGTTTCTAGAAGCGCAAAGAGGTGAAGAAGAAGAGTCGGTGCAATCAAGAATCCCCGTCGTGGACGACGGCGCGTGAGAGAAGTAAGTGGAAGTAAAAGAGAGAATGAAACCAGCTGTGACTATGAGAAAAATCAACCGGAGAAAGCTTTTTTGGTCCATGTCAGGTTTTTTTTTGTTTTGTTGCTTTGGTGAGTGAAGATCATAGGAGTTATCGTATTATATAGAAAAATTAAAGAAACTAGTGAGCTTAATTCAGTACGTCACCTCACAGTATAAAGAGATATACAAATATCATTCCCGAAATAAAATATCTACCACATGCTATAAGGAATCTTAAGGAATCTTATCTTTGACGATTGAAAAATGGAGAGGTAAACATTTGTCTACTCCTAGAAACCTACAATGCTATATGTGCGGTGCCATATTTGTGGTACGCAGAATGATGAAGAATGATGAAGGCCCAAGAGGCTCATGATGTCGATAGATAAATCCAACAGAAGCCCATATTTTGTCAATATCTTGTGATGGTTTTATGAGCAGAGAGTGATGAAAATTCTTTATTTTCGACTGAATATCTCCTAGATGAGATATAAGCATTTTTTTTATGTCAAATCAAGGAATTTAGGTAGTAGCATTATCAATCTGAGTCTCTGGATTATCTCATCCCACAAAGTGTTTCAAGAATGTGAGAAGCAGATCAAGTAGATAAAGAGCAATGGAAATCCAAATCCTAATAATTAAGTTTTATGTGGAAAGTATCATATAAGAGAAAAACTTAAAAACAGAAAAGAAGCAAATGACAAAAACAATCTAAGAAACATGGCATAATCAAGAAGAAAGCTGAGGGAGTGGGTTTAGCCAGCGTGGTAGAACGTACTGTGAAAAGTAGAGGTTGTGAAAACCACCTAATATATCATTGACGAAAATTGGATAGATCAAATCCATATACGCCTTGCAACCGTTAAATCTCATGTTGCAACCATCCATAGACTTGTTCTCCTCCTCATCGGGCACCTCCTTGTGAAGACTAAACTTGTGTGTCCTCAAGTTTAACAAGACCAAACTGTTCTTGTTCCTACTCCACAAGTATATGATGTCAGAGTTCAAAGGATGCATCACCACGGGGAAATAATCAGCACCAAACCCGATCAAAGACGAGTTGGTGTTGAGTTTCCACGAGAGTTTCCATGACTTAGGATGATCTTTCGTAGAGACCAACCTCCAAACCCTGATTGTACGACCTCCACTATCGTTGAAAACGTTGCAGTACACCACGGATCCCGCAGAAGTTGTGATTGTTCTCTTGAAACGCTGATTCCGTTCAAATCGCTGGATACCAGGAAAAGGTATAATATTGCAGTCAAGATCATCATCACATCCTTTGTAGAAATCATAGGATACAACATAATCTGCGTCCAGGGAGCAACCAGACGCAGCAAGCCAGTGAAGAATCCCGTTCAAAGGAACAGAATACCCTAGTCTAGACCACAACAAGGCACGGAGACAACGCACCTTCTTGGTTATCCACAATCCTGTTTCAGAGGAATAAATCATAAAAGTGAGTTCCTTAGATGCTGGATATGATGCCAACATCCAGACAACCTTGTAGCCCACGACAATACCCTTTTCCATCTTTGTGACCAATCCATTGTCACTGAAATGTCGATTCTCCTGTAACCTCACGACATCGAAAGCAGAGAGATGTGGAGGAAGAGGGATCCGTACCCATTGTCGCAACAAGGGGTTTCCGACATGATACATTAGTTCTCCTTCGACGGTTTCGGTGTAAAGCAATACAATTCCATCCGTGCAGCTCAAGACAGAATTGTTTCTCACTTTGGTCTCGGGAATGTGATGCATGTAAGAGCCTAGGGAATTGGTAAGTCCCCATCTCTCACATCCGTGGTGTCCCACGATTTCAACCGACACTCTTTTGTTCCTTGTGTTCATGATTGACCACGACACGGAGGAGGAAGATTTCAGTGACTCGTAGAGATCTCGGAAGAAGTCGGAATCGATTATCGATTTCCATTCTTTGCACACTGATCTGAATCTAGCAATGTATTTCAATGATAATCGAGCCAAAATCTTCACCAGTGCTTCCTCTGGCACCAAATTATTTTTCTGTTTTTTCTCCATTTGAGATTTCGTTTAGGGTTCTCTATCCTCTCTCCGTTTCTAATATCAAAGAGTACGTAACCCTTTTTTTTTTTTTTTTTGATAATTAAGTACGTAAACTTAAAAGTCGAAAAAACAAAAACAAAAATGTGAAAGGATATTCTGTTACTTAAATATTTTCATATCCTAAAAATCCCTTCTTTACTGTAATTTTTGTAACTGATCTGTGCATATTCGATCATTTGATACTAATTGGGTATAGGGTTCTCTTGAACAGATAACACTTTTATAGGTATTTTTAATTTTGATTGTTAAAAGAGGAATATTGGAAAAAATATAATACTATAAATTAATCTATCATTTTATTTGTTTCATCCCTTAAAATACATGTATATAGAAATAATGTTTAACTTAGACTCTTTTAAATTTAATCGAAAAGAGCATAGAAAAGAAAATTCTTCAAATTCTTTTTATAATCGAATGTCATCAAATATGTGATATATTTTAGTTGATATATCACTCGGCGAACTCATAATCTAACCATGTGAACCCAATGACGGACCCAAAAACTTTTCACCGGGCTCAACTACATTATTAGAAAACGGTATATTTATTATTGTTACAATCGTTCCAATAGCATTGCCATCGCTCCGATTCCCATGACCATCGTTCCCATCGTTATTGTCATCATCATTATTACCCGTTTTTCAAAGCATCATCATCATCCCCCAACCAAAGGATGCATCTGAACCGTTATTTGTAGGGGAATACTAATTTCTTTTAAGAAAGAATTAATGTGTAATCAGAACCAAAAACAGTATCAAGGTCTTCTATCACTTTGTACATTTGGAACTAATCATATAGGAATTCTTTTGTTAATATATGCACAAAAGTAGTTTCACAATCTATTTTCGAAAATAATCATATGGGGAATGGATATTTCTTAGTTGCCAATACATTTCCTTGAGATTAACATTACGGTGTGAATTGGACATGCTGTATACACTTTTGCGCTTATTGTTTTTGGTGTAGGAGTTGGGATTTCACCAATAACACATAACAAAGTGAATATCTTGTAACTTTATTTGAAGTTGTGCTATAAGATCCAAAATTTGGATAATTCTTTCGTTGGTTCTTCATACTTCTCAAGCAGAAACAGATTTGGCTCCGCAAACCTGAAGGTCATATTCAAAGTTTGGAGCGGCCTTAAGAATTGGACTGCGCTCGAAAAAATTTGCGGGCTTCAAATCAAAACTTGAAGAAACCGTGGGCATTATCGGAAAATCTTCTTGACATGGAATGTGATGGAACCCGAGCGTGTACCACACCACAATGTCGTTATTCTCTATATCTCTATCCCTGCACCACACCAAATAAAGACACTAAATCAATCATAAAAGATTAACTATAATATCACTAATATAAACGGTAATTCTTTGCAACTAATCACCTGTCGGACCAAACCGCAAGAGTATCATCACCGTGGCTTTGGTAAGTGAACAAACCACCAGCCCATTGCTCGGACTTATTGTATGGAGTAACCCAAATTTGGTTATTAGTAAAAGCTCCTCTCTTCTGTGGTGGATCATCATGGTCAAGCAGACTTGCTGCTGTGGCTCTAGGCACAATCTTGTAACCCCTCGGGTTACCAACCCGAGTGGTTTTACTAGGATTAATGACGTGGTATTCTGATGGATCGTACAAGCTAAGCTTGATCTTACCGTCCTTTTCGGTTTTCACAATGTTCCTAACCGCTTTCATGTAACTCTTCCTAGGTGATTCACCTAGCGCCGTCTCTTGCCTCTTAAGGTTTACTTTAAGAAAGGAATTGTCCGGGCCATCAACGTCGAGGTCAAAGTAAAAAGTGACGTAGTGGTCGTGAATAACTCCAATTACATTTTCAGACAGAATTGTGCCATAAAGCTCTTCTTCATTACCTTCTTTGTCTTTCTTCACTTGGTTCTTGTTCACGTACGATGTCCCTTTTACCATCAAGATTCCACTAAGCCCAACCTGTCGTTGTTATTACCAAAAGAAAATATTTTCAATATCAACGGAATCTTTTAAAATTATTTTTGTGAAAATAAGATAAAAGTCAAAAATCGAAAGTACCTTTGCTCTCATAAGCCCATCAGTTTGGAACTCATAATCAATGATGAAATCGTAGTTACCCACTGAGGCTACCATTCGTACCACAAGCGTCACCTTTGGTCTCACTTCCCGTAACGGCTAAACTAAAAACAATCATAATTAATCTCTTTATCTTACAGTATGAATTGTTTCCTTTTTGACTGTGAGTAGCAGCATCTTATTAAGTAGATGTCTTTTTTCTTTTGTACATATATCATAAAAATCATTGTTGTGCCCGGTGAAATCTCAATCTTATAAAAAAACTAATTAAGAGAATCGATTTATTCATTAGAAATTGGTTTTCAAGTATGTAGAAATTTTGACATGTCTTTTTATGCAATAAGAAATATAAAACGGATGTTAGAAATCTGTCTTCTAGGACTTTTGGCCCATAATCTTCCTTGGTACCTTGAGCCAATGATTCATTCCAATTTAAAGAATGCTTCTCTATCCCAAAAGAGGATTAAACCCGAGATACAAACCACTAGTAGATATTTGACCTTTGAGAACTTGTATAGGTGATTTTTGGGGTTTTTAAAAAAATACAACAATTGATTAGTTCAATTCTGATTTTTAAAGACTATTTAAAAAAAAAGTTTAGAGTTAGTAAAGTTAATTTACACTTATGTGGACATAACTCTTAACAACACGTGATTTGTTAAGTTTACTGTTGCTGTTGATAATATATTTAAATAAACAGAGAAGCAAAGAGAACTTACCGGCATGCCGGGGACGGGATACTCGGTGTGACGCCACGCAATATCTCCGGCGTAACTCTCAAACACACAAATCATATTCTCTCTCACAAACGGCGTTCCGTCAGCCGCAGCGAATATTCCGTCCATATAAACGGCGTTTCTTGGACAATCGTTAAGCGGCTCGAGCGACATGGTTTGTAACCCCAACCCGTACTCTCCTGCGTCCATGTAAGTCTTGAAGTACCAAGCTTCCGATGGATCCATGTATGGAATAAAAAGCTCCGACACGAAACCTTTGTACATCACTTCACGTGTCTCTTCAGTATCCGGATCATGTACTCTGACCCGGGATATAATCAGACCGGCTCTCGGGTCCGGTTTTAAGTGAAATTCCCAATTTGCCCATTTTACTATATGGTTATCCTCGATTACAAAGCTTGGACCATGTGGCTGCTCGATGGAGATTGGATTGAGAGGTCTGGTTTTGTCCTGGCTCGGAAAATTGGAGTATCGATAATCGGTATTGGTTGAACCGGGTATGGGTATTGATTGACCGGTATCGGTTATCTCAAGTATTTGCTTCGTATCTAAATCAAAAAGTAGAGTCAAACCTTCGATAGGTCGCATGTAGAAATTAGGAGTACCTTGAGATGAGAAACACTGGATTTTAGTCACCCTTTTGTTGTCTTCTTTATTACCAAACCAGCCACTAGACATTGGGATACAAACCACGTCCGTTAGATTTATTCCACGAGAAAGAATCGTACGGTTGAAATCTGCGTTTGAGAATGGTGCACTCGCGGCGCTGTCCATCTCCTCCGACGTCACAATCGGGTAACCGGATTTAGGAACCGGACTATCCACTAAATCAACAAGATTTGTAGATAAGTCAACGGTAAGCACGTGTGAATCACCTCCTAAACGTGCGATCACAGAAGCCTTTCTTGTTGGGAGTTGGTCTCCTTTGTCCCATTGTCGGACTAGGTTCTTGTCTGGCTCTTCAAGGACGACGGAGTTAAGCGTGAGTGGTGCACGTGAGGCGAAGAGCGCGTGGGAGGAGAGGATTGATCGGACTTTGTTGATCTCCATGACGGTAAGTGGGTCAAGAGGGTGGTTTGGTGTATCGGAAACGTGGTCATGGTTTTTGGGTTTTGTTTTGGGAACATTTTTAGCAATGGGTCGAGTTTTTTTGTTGAAAAGGAAGTTTCTTGACGCGCAAAGAGGCGAAGAGGAAGAGTTTGTGCAGTCGAAAAGCTTTGTTGTGGACGACGGCCCGTGAGAGAAGTAGTGGAAGCGAAAAAGACGATGAAACAAGCCGTGATGATGAGAACGAACAGACGGAAGAAGAGTTTTGGCTCCATGAAAGCTCTCACACACTCTCTCTCTCTCTCTCTAGATCTCAGTTGGTTTAATTAGTTGACTAATGTGTGATTGTGTGTGTTGTTTTGTTTATTCATATTTACTTGAATCTATACTATATAAAAATCGAAGCCATAAGTTCCTTAGGCCGTCCACGTGGAATTTAGAACGACCAATCTCGGTTGGACATCTCATCGGTTACTATTTTTACACACTACCTAAATTAACATTTTTAAATTCTAATATTTTCTATACTTAAATATTAATAAAAAGGAAAAGAAAAATAAGAAAAATGTAAATTTTTGAAATAACAAAATACAGAAATAAGAAAAATGTAAAGTATATATTTTAATATTATTATGCAGCAAATATATATATTTTTGAAACTTTTCTAATTAAAAAATATAAAATTACATAAGGTAACTATAACGGTTTATCCTAGACATTAAACTATATATATTGAATCTCGACAACACAATTAGTTTTGGTTTCAAAAGAATTTACTATTATGCGGCTTTTTTTTTTTCGTGCTACATACTTTTTGATTTATTTCTCTATTCTATACTATATATATATAAATATCGAGGACATAAGCTCATTAGGCCGTCCACCTATGATTTTAAACGAATAACTGCAGTTAGACACTTCATCAGTTAACATTTTTACACAGCATGTTAATTAACATTTTTAAATACTAATATTTTCTGTACTTAAATATTAATAAAAAGGAAAAGAAAAAAATATATAGAAAGAAGAAAAATGTGCATTTTTGAAATAACAAAATATAGAAGAAAAAGAATGTAAACGTATATATTTCAATATTATTATGCAGCG